ACCCTTGCCTTGGGCTTCCTTTCTCCACTGCCTCTGCTTTCTCAGTTTCTGTGTACCTGAAATTTCAGTGTATTCTAGATCCCATCTTGGTCTGCTTCCCTTATGTTCCCTTTTCTAACTTTCCTTGAGTAGCCTGTTCCCAGGCTTCAGCTGCCTAATTTAATCTGGTCTCTGATCTTGAACTCCAGGCCCACCTAGGTGCTCTTATTTTCAAGTGGTCCTGAAATTTCTCACTCAACATGCACAGAAACGGAACACACTGTAGTGTCTCCCACACTTGTCCATCCCTTCGCTCGTCCTTGTTTGGGCTAATGACACAGTGATCCGTGCAGAAGCCTAAGGGCTCTGGGAGTCATTGTACAGCCTTCCATACCCTCCCTCCTCATCCGGGTATTCTCCAAGCCCTGAGGATTCTGGCTTCCACAATCTTTATTAACTCTTTTCTCAATTATCGGTGCTTAAGTTTTAGTTGAAGCTCCGAGCTTGGCTGTTATAACCAATTCTAACTAAGCTTTCTTCAGTGCCCTTCCCAGGTAAGGATGCACACTTCTTATTATTTCAGTCACAGTCATCTGCACTTCTAAATCCCTTGGTCTCATTCTAGAGATTCTAGAAATGTTGTAACACAACACAATGCACTGCTGTCGTCGGATTCGACTCACAGTGACCCCTCCTTGGGTTTCTGAGGCTGTATCACTACGGAAGTGGATGCCCAACCTTTCCTTCTGAGGAATGGCTGGTAGGTTTGAACTGCCAGCCTACTAGTTGGCAGTCAAATACCTTAGGCACTATGTCACCAGAGTTCTTAGAAATGTAGTAGATACCTAGAAAAACGTTTGGACTGAAATGAAATAAATGACCATGTTCCTGTGTGTAAGAAGTTAACAGTGTCAGTGAGTCTAGGACAGTTATTGAGGGATTAACACTGATCAGAATTCAGGATTTCATCACAAGTGGATGTCATGTCTTTTGGGAAACGGTGCCCCAGATCAGTTCTGGTAAGGAGAACGAAACTTACTCATAAAGTTTTCAGAAACATTTTTTATTTAAATAATCTTCCAGGATATAGTGCAGGAAAATGAGTCCACTGGGTTGGAAGGCACTGCATGATAGCCACACCAAAGGCTCAAGCCAACAGTCATGCAGATGGTGCAAGAACAGACATTTTGTTCTGTTATGGGTTATATGGCCATGAATATGAGCCAATTTGACAACCATTAACAACCTGAATAACTTATACTGAGGTTAAGCAGCATTAGATTTTTAACTAATTGTTGACATTATATTTAGCAATATGATGCTTGCCTTCAGATAATCTGAAAGTATTTTGTCTGATCAGTAGCCCCCCGCTTTTTTTTTAAGTGAAAAGAAACAAAAAACTCGATTCTTACCTTTGTACCCATTTTATATAACTTCTTGGTGCTTCTGAATGATGGTGTTCTGGTTACTTAGTGCCACTCTGAAAAGAATATACCACAAATGGGATGGCTTAAATAAACAGGAGTTTATTCTTACAATTTGGAGGCTTTAAGTCCAAGTTCAAAGTGCCAAGCTCTAGGGGCTGAGTGAAACTCCTCAGCCTTGGGCTTCAGCTCTGCCTCCAGCTCCTGGCCCACTGAAGCTAGAGGCGTTTCTTCACTCAGCTGCTGTCTGCTAAAGCTGACAAGCCCAAGGTTGACAAGTAACAAGGCATGGTCCCGATATTATCAAATCACACGGCAGGCCATTAATTCAAGTCCATTGTAAGTCCCAAGGTCTGCAGAGCATGGCAGGCTGCTGAACAATGACATGGCTACATGCAGGGTTCAAGTTGCCATAAGCTAGAGATCATTCCCGAAGCTGCTGCGGGAAGCAGACCACATACCCAAAGCAGCTCCTCAGCTGCTTGTGGTAGATCCCACCACGGAGTTGACTGCCAGTCTCATCATGGGGAATAACTACCACCAGCTGCCCAGCCACTCAACAAGGTCTAGCCAAGTTGACACAAAAACATAACAACACAGATGGAAAGCTCTTTAACCTGACCTTGAAAAGACTTATGACTGAAAAATTACGTTCTGATGAGTGTAGGGGAGAGAGAGACTCTGATTTTAGATTAAAGCATATCTTTTTCAGATACTGATGAAAGTATGGGAGAGATTGGTGGTTGGACAAACTGCCACAGCTTCAACCCTGACCAGGGTATGAAATACTCGTTAGGGTCTTCTGATCCTGTAAAGCGAGGGAACCATTGAGCGTTCTGTTTTGTGTCTTATTTTCCGTTTGTGCCATTTCCTACTGAGTAACTGTAGATTCACATGACTTCCCCCATCTTCTGGCCCTCGTTGGTATATCATGAAATACACCATTGAGATGCAGTGGAACACGGAGTGTATAGAAATGCCAGGTGTTTTCACAAGTCTCACAGGACTGAACAAACTTTGAATTTGAACCAGAAAGTGGGTTAGTAATTGGAAAGCTTCAAAGACTCCTAATAAAATAATCTTACACACTTGCTCTGAAAAGCAGCAAAATTCTGTATGTGCACGAATTGGTTATTTTTCTTTGAAAAATATCTTTTTTTTCTTTTTTAACCTCATAGAAATAACTTTCTCCTGGAACATTTTATAAGCATTTTTATTTTTTGAGAGAAATTCAGGCTGTTTTTGCTAAGAGTGAACCATTGTTTTTCCTGGTGTGAATATTGGCAGAGGTGTGAAGGAAACCTAGAATTTCTACCTCTTTTTTCTTTCTGTGCTGTCTTTTTTCCCCCTTAAATCAATGAATAATTTTCAGGCCTTCACATGTTGTATAATTATATAACTTACCCTTAGTGCAAATAACTGCTTGACATTTGTTGAAATTTCAGCTTATTTGATATTGCTTAGGTCTTAATAAAGGAGCCCTGGTGGCATAGTGGTTAAAATACTCGATTACTAACCAGAAGGTGGCAGTTTGAACCTACCAGCTGCTCCATGGGAGAAAGATGAGGCAGTTTGCTTCCATAAAGATTTTTTTTTTTTAAAAAAAACAAAACAAAACTCACTATCATCAGGTCAGTTCTGACTCATAGTAACCACCATTGGGTTTCTGAGGCTGTAAATCTTTACAGAAATAGATTGCCCCGTCTTCCTTCTGCAGAGCAGCTGGTGGGGTTAAACCACTGACCTTCTGGTTAACAGCCAAGTGCCTCATCCACTACGCTACCAGAGCCTTGGAGACACTATGGGGGAAATTCTACTCCATCCTAAAGGGTCACTATGAGTCAGAATCAACTTGAGGCAATGGGTTCGGTTGTTTTGGTAGATCTTATGTTCAGGAATCAATGTTTTAAATATGAAATATCCCTAAAGGTATTTTTAATCTTTGTGTGATAAAATGCATTAAAGTCTGTATCATAGTTTTTAAGGCAAAGTGACTGTCTTTAAGGTGGCTAGATAGGAAATCACAGAGGAAATATCTTTTGAGTCACTGAGTCTTTGGGGATTGCAAAATGAACATAGAATATAAACACACTTTAAAAATGTACTAAAACCACCTCCTTTTACTGTATAGGTTGATCTTTGACCTGAATTGAAAAGAAATTTAGTAGCCCCCCTTCCCCAGTGTTTAAAAAAACATTAGGCCTTTGGTTTTGGGGACCGTAATTGAATTTTCCTTGCTTAAAAAAAGGGAAAAAATTGATTTGGGTGTTAGGCCATAACAAAAACGAGACCCTTTTGAAGATGAAATGCATGCCTGTCTTGTTTTCACTGGCCCTGAGTCTTGAATCAGTCTGACGGCTGTACACCATCTTAATTTTTGTGCAGATGTTTACTCATTTCAATTGTGGGCTCATCTTTACGTCTGCTGCTGCTCTGAATGATTTTGTTGGAGGTTAATAATGATAGGATTTGGCAGCAGGGACAGCACTGTCACAGATAAGAAGACCCTTCAGTATGTTCTCTTAATCGTGATTTTTACATTAGAAACCGGAGGCTTTGTAGTCTCCATGTGAAGGTGCCCTGCAGTATTGCTATGATAATGATCCTGTCATGGGTTCCTTAGTCTTTGAGTAAAATCTCCAGTCTTATTCTTTAACTATCAGAAAATAAAGGACAAAGTAGTAAATTGTAACTTGTCACAGAAGGAAATGATGTTATGATTTGAGTACATATTTTATAATTTATAAGCAAAACTCACTGCCATCAAGTCGATTCTGACTCATAGTGACCCTCTTTATGTTTCTGAGGTGGTAAATCTTTACAGAAGTAGATTGCCCAGTCTTCCTTCCGAGGGGTAGCTCGTGGGTTTAAACCACCAACCTTCTGGTTAGCAGTCAAGTACCTTAGGCACTATATGCTACCAGAGCTCCTTTTTTAAATAATTTTCTTCAGAGGTTTTGCTTGTCAGCTTCATCCCACCCACCATTTAACATGGAAGACTTTCCAGGGAACTCTGCCATGACATCTAGAATTATTGTATGGTGTTTTGGTGAGCCACAGTGGAGAAAAAGCACTTTGGAAGGTGACATTTTCTCTAGGGTGGACCTTTGGCTTTGGAGTGGCTAACCTCGATTTGAATCCTGGTCCTGCCATCACTGAGCTATGCATCCTTGGGCTAGTTAGTTGACTTTTGGTGGGAATGTAAATCCTTTAGCACAGCCCCTGGCACATGTTGTTAGCTGCCTTTGGATCAGACCACCAACTCCTGGGGAGCCCACGCACAACAGAGTGGACTGCTTGGGACTGTTGTGATCCGTAGTGTTTTCACTGACTGATTCTGCAAGTAGTTCACTCTGCCTTTCTTCCTATCACAGGTACTTAGTAGTGTTTCCCTTCTCTTCTTTGTAAAAGTTGTGTGTGCACCTCCCAGGGGAAGGCATCCACAGTCCTCTCTCTCCGTGGGATCCCACCTTCAGTCCGATGCATTGGGATATTGTGGAGCTTGGTTTGTTCATTGTGTATTCATTCCATATGTGTGCCGACGCATGAATGCCAGACACTGCATGTTCCAAATAACACTCCTTCCTCTCTTGGCAGGTGCCTGAGATCATTAGCTCCATCAGACAGGCCGGGAAGATCGCCCGCCAGGAGGAGCTCCATTGCCCATCTGAGTTTGATGACACATTTGCCAAGAAGTTTGAAGTGCTCTTCTGTGGCCGAGTGACCGTGGCCCACAAGAAGGCCCCGCCGGCGCTGATAGACGAATGCATCGAGAAGTTCAATCATATCAGCTGCAGCAGGAAAGCGGAAATCGACTTGTTCTCCCAGAATCCTGAAGCTACCAGTACTATGGGGGGATTTACCATAACAGATAAATTCCGATCGGTATTCCAGCCGGTGGGCCATGACGAGCAGGGCCGGAGGCCTATGCGGAAGTCCTTCTCCCAGCCTGGACTTTACTCTTTGGCCTTTAAGAGGGAATTTCAAGATGGAAGCCTTAGAAGTAGTAGTTTTTTCAGCTCTTTTGAGGAAAATGACATTGAGAACCACCTCATTAGTGGACACAATATTGTGCAGCCGACAGATATTGAGGAAAATCGAACTATGCTCTTCACGGTAAAACAATATTGAGCCTTGAACTCATCCCCATTCTGCGGTGTATGTTCAAAAGAAGATGTGCTTTATTGAAAGATTCTATTATTATTTTTTTCATTGTGATTTGAGGAGGAAAAGTTCTTGGTAAATTATTTTTGGCAGTTGTATGTGAATCCATATATTCTGTTCTCAGGATAAAATCCTTCAGTTATGATCATTGAAAGTCATCAGGGGAAAATAGAGATCCCATCTTATATCCCTGTGTGGTTTTTACCCCCCCACCCCCCACCCCCCCACCCTATGGCTGTAAAGACATCTTTTTAAATGGGGTGGAGAGTATGTTAAGATAGGTAAAAAAGGCCAAAAAAAAAAAAAAAAGGGATTTTTAAAATGTGTCTTAATTTCAAGTAATACATTTCAACAAAATCTTTTAGTTGGAAAATGCTTTCTCTTAACTATTTTCATTAATTTATAAAACTTTCACTCCTTGTTAATCAGGATAGTCGTCAGGGTGATTGGATGACATGATATCTAAGATTTATACCCAAACTCAAATACTAGTTTAGCCAACTGCTTACTTTTTTCTAGGAAATAAAAAATTCGGTAAACTGAGAGCCAAATGCCGGAAAAGGAACGGACAAAGGAGCTGTTGCTGGAGTTTGGGGCTCCTGAGTTCTAAGTAATCATGGCTGTTCTCGGAGAGCTGGTCCTCCCTGGGAGCCCCCTGGGTTGGAGTGAATTAGTCTGAGCCAGTGGGACTCATGCTGACCCAGAGGTGAACTGGCCGCTGACGGTGTAAGGAAGTGGCTGATCCTGGGCCCCGTTCTGTGACCCTTCTTTGGCTTAATGTTGACTGGCATTCTGTGGAGACCAAAAGTACCTTAAATGTAATGTTTTATAAAAATAAGGAAGTTGGCTGCTAAGCTTAATGCTCTGTGTATGGATGCAGGTTTAAAATCAAGATGATGTATCACAGGTTAATAGGGGTGATTTATTTCTTCCTCTTCTAATCATTGACCTAATACATTGTAGAGTGCTACGTCAGCATCCAGACTTGTGTTTCAACCTCTCCGTCACTGCTTGGTTCATTTATTTAACCCATACTTAAATGAGTGACTGCTGTGGGTGAGATCTTACACAATATGCTAGCAACACAGCAGTGCACAAGACTCCCTGTATATATTTAGATTCTGGGAAGCCCCTGCGTAGTATAAGTAGTTTAAACACTTGGCTGCTAACTGCAAGGTTGGAGGTTCAGGTCCACTCATATGTGCCTTGGAAGAAAAGCCTGGTGGTCTACTTTGAAAAAGGAGCCATTGAAACCCTGTGGAGCATACTTTTGCTCTGACACATGGGGTTGCCATGAGTTGGAGCTGACCCAACGGCATCTGGTTTTAAGGACGATGGAGATCAGACAATTGATGGCAAAGGCAGATACCTAATTAGAGTTGTGATAACATGCTACCAAGGAGAAGCAGAGGATGCTGCAAGGACAGTGGGCGCATCAGAGAAAACTTCAAGAAAGTGATAGTGATTTTGACTGAGCAGAGGGTTGGGTGTAGTCACCTGGGAGTTGAGCGATTCCTGGGTGCAGGGAACAGCAGATGAGACGGCCTTGAGGAGAGATGCCCACGATACCTGAGAAAGCCGGAAGCCTGTGCGTTTGTTGTTTCTTTTGCTTGGATGGCTTCCTCCCCAGGTTTTCATGGGTCTGTCTTCCTCCCTGCCTTTAGGTCTCTGCTGAAATGCTAACTTGGCATAGAGCAATAATCCTTGCAGTGAGGCTAGTAGCACTTCTTTGCTTTCATTTTTTGCTGTAGCACTCATCATCATCTGGCATAATTACAAATAAACAGGTACTATATCTTCTGTCCCGTCTACCCCTAAGAAGGTGATCTCCGTGAGGGCACAGATTTTTATCTGTGTGTTCATTGCTGTTATCACGGGTGCTTAGAATACAGCTTAGCATATGGTGCATGCTCAGTAAATACGTAATAAATGAGAAAAAAGGCCAGGTGACTCCAATGGGAACAAAGGGGGTGTAGTAGGAGAGGTAGGGTTGGTGCAAGAGGCAGGGGCTTCATGAGATATCAACTCATGAGTCTTAAGAGTTTGGTTTTCATCCTCAAATCAAGGGACAGTCACTGAAGAGTCTAAAACACAGATTGGTACTGGATGTTTTTGGCAACAGAGTGAAGATGGCAGGAGTAGGCTGGGGAGAAGAGTTGGAGGCCATGGAATAGTCTGCATGAGAGACAGTAGAGGCTTAGAATGTGGAGGCAGCGGGGATGGAGTAAAGGGAGGATGGAAAAACACTCAGGAGGCAGGTTGATGGGACATGGTGACTGATGGGAAGTAATGGGAAGGGAGAGGGGTCCAAGAGCCCAACCCAGTTTTAAATTCTAATTTCCCCTTTACAGCCCATCCACAACCAAGTGATAATGCATCAGGGCTTCTCAACTTTGAGATTTTCAAAGCTTCTTTTTTAAAAATAGAGATTATTTTCATTGTGTGTTGGTATCTTCGTTGTGTTAGGTATCTTCACTGACCTCTGAAGACACTAAACATATCCAAACTAGAGACTCATTTCTTGTTGACAGACTTGTCCATCTTTACTCTGTATTGCACTAGACAAAGCAGATAGTGTGCTGGTTCCTGCTGTGGAGAGACACACACTCTAGTCTAATTCAGAAAGATGTTGCATGTTAAAAATGAATTATTTTTTCATCATACTTGGTCTTCATGAAAGGATTAAGGGTAGTGGCTGTCAGTCTCACCTGACTCTACATTCAGAATATAATGACTCCTGATTTATACCCGAGTTTCCGGTTTGGACCTTATATCAGAGTATAATGAATTTAAAGGAAGGAAAGCCACTGTGAGTTCCAGTAACATCAGAATGTGACTGCTGACCTCTTTATCCTGAGGAGAAACTGAAACTGTAGAAAACCCATACAATACCTCAAGAAACTTAGCCGCCTGGAGGCCTGGAGTCCAGGGAGGGCCACCACAGGCAGCTGGGGAGTGGGCGTGCAGTTAACCATGTGGGTATTGCCAAATACTACTACTATAATGGATGTCTAGTGTGATAAATCAATAATGCAATGTTCCTTTATGCTAATGTGGTAACTTAAAAAAGTCTGGTAAGTAGTATATGCAAATGTTTTATACATAGCATGTACTCAGTGCATCATGGATGATCATCTGAATAATTTTTATAAGATTTTACAGTAAAAAAAACCATCAGTTGCTGTCACACTGATTCTGCTGCCTGGTGGCCCCAGTGGGACTGTGCTCCATAGGGTATCCGTGGCTCAGTTTTCAGTAGCAGACTGCCAGTCTGTGTCACTTCCAAGGCACCTCTGCCTGGGCTTGGATCACTTTATTTTTTGCTTGGCAGCAGAGTGTGTTACCTGTTTGCACCACCCAGGGACTCCACAGTAAAAGGGAATCAATAGAAAACGTTTTGAAAATTTTGAAAGAGAAGCTTCTTTTTTGGAAGAGGCACTTACTTAGAAACCTCATTGTCGTAACAAAGGGATGTTTAGTCTGAGGTTTTGTTGTTGCTTTTTGGGTATTTGATCCTTCAGTCTCACTGCAGATTGCTGCCTTAGGTAGGTGAGTGTAGGAATAGTTATCCTGTGATACAGGAACTCCCTAGGATAAGTCACTACCTTTGAAGTGATTTCCAACCATGATACAGTCAGAATTTTATAGGAGCTTGTTCCTTTCTCTTTATTCTCATAGATCACAAAACAAGAAAAGTTTGTAAGACAAATTTAAATTCAGCTTTCATGTTCAGCTAGTTTCTGTTTTGTTTGTTTTTTAAGATTGGCCAGTCTGAAGTGTACCTCATCAGCCCTGACACCAAAAAAATAGCATTGGAGAAAAATTTTAAGGAGATATCTTTCTGCTCTCAGGTAAATGGAAATGGGTTATTGGTTCAATTGCAATGGAATTTTTAAACGATTTCTTCTAATATCTGCCATACAACAGAAGTGTACGGATTACAAAGGGTATATTTTCTAAGTACTTGATCTGTAGTCTTTAATTTCTTTTCCTATGCTTTGATATGGGAGCTTTGGTAGCATAGTGCCTAAGGCACTTGACTGCTAACCAGAAGGCTGGCTGTTCAAACCCACCAGCCACTCCTTGGAAGGAAGATGGGGCAATCTACTTCCATAGCGATACTGCCTCAGAAACCCAAGGAGGGGTTGCTATGAGTTGGGTCCGACTCGACTGCACATAACAACAACAACATGCTTTGGTATACAGGTAGTCCCCAGGTTAGGAACATCCAAGTTACAAACCAAGTCTCACCTATTGCAGTCACGTACTGCATAGCATCCATTCAGACAGTGTCTTCCTGCATGTACATCCCTGGTCCCAACCCCCATAAAGTCTACGATATTAAAAATTTGATGTACACATGAGTTCATAATAACAAACGGGTGCTATTTTGCAACACACCTCAAAACATATTAATGTATTATGTTAGATGTTTTAATGTATCTGAAAGTGTTTTTTATGCATAGAGAGGTACATTACATATTACATACAAAGACAAACATTTGGCTAACTGACATTTGATACAAACCATACCTAATTGTTTGTCTTATGTACAAATTCAACTTAGAGACAGACTTAGGAGTGAAACTTGTTCATAATCCAGGGACTGCCTGTGTTAAGATAATAAATAAAATTTTGAAATTAGATAAGAATTTTGTTCTAAGCAACAATAACCTATTGGATAAAATAGATTTACGAAATTAGATAAGAAGTTTGCTCTAAGCAACAATAACCTATTGGATAAAATAGATTTACGAAATTAGATAAGAAGTTTGCTCTAAGCAACAATAACCTATTGGATTAAATAGATTTACTTGCCTTTTTTTTTTTTTTGCAATTATTAGTAATAATGTTTCACCATCGTGATTTCCAGGTATGTGTGTGTGTTTTATGTACAGATAGTCCCTGACTTATGATGGAGTTCCAGTCTGACAACTCCATCATAAGTTGATTCTAATGTAAGTTGAATACCTTTTTTAATTTTTGTTTTTCATTATTGCCTTTTATGGTTAGTATTTTTATTATCAGGAGCTGTGGTAGCATAGTGCCTAAGGCACTTAAACTGCTAACCAGAAGGCTGGTGGTTCAAACCTACCAGCCACTCCTCGAAGTAAGGTTGGGCAATCTACTTCTGTAGTGATACTGCCTTGGCAACCCAAGGAGGGGTTGCTATGAGTGGGGGCCAACTCGACAGCACATAACAACAACAATTTTTATTATCAATGTTTTTATAAATACAGCATTATTTTGAACAGTAAATCATAAAATCGAACATTTTCAGGTGAACATCTGAGAATGATAACATGAGCAAATTACATGCTGCAACATCATGTAGTGCATATAAGTAACCAATGATAAGGGCATGTGTAAATGTGGTTCATCATTAACTCAGAATATGTTGTAAGTTGGGGACTATCTGTGTATATTTACACATACACACAAATGTGTCTCTTTTTAAGTAGATATATACTTCAACTTTATAAAAATTTGTAACTTTTGGGGTACCAATCATCATCATTTCTTCTCCCTTAAAGTAGAACACATAGTCCATATCTTAGATACCTTACTTAGAATGCAATATCTACTTGAAAATTTCTTTCTTGATGATCTCCCCAGGTGTATTTTAGAGATTCTGGAGGAATCGATCAATTATGATTAACTCTATGAGCTCTGGTGGCATGGTGCCTAAGGCATTTGACTGCTAACCAGAAGGCTGGTGGTTCAAACCCACTAGCCACTCCTTGGAAGGAAGGTAGAGGAATCAACTTACATAGTGATACAGCCTTGGAAACCCAAGGAGGGGTTGCTGTGAGTCGGCTTTGACTTGACGGCAGTGCATTGCCTTGCGTTCGTTGTGTTATATCAGTTTCACTCAGATCCTCTGTATCAAATATGAGAACACTTAGTAATGTTTTCTTTTAAGCTCTAACTTCTTATTTCCATAATGAATGAGACAATGAGTGTTTCAGTGTTTGCTAACATACAATGTGATCTACTTACGTATTCAAAAGGAAAATTTTCTTTTGAAAAATGTAAAAATAACATTCTTTATCCATTTACAAAGAGTAAGTTATTCTAAAGCATATTCCTCTAAGAAGTAACTTTTTGCATTCCCTTAACTTGACATTGGAGAACACTGATTGAGATGTTGGGCTATTCCAGTGACTGCTCCCTTGTTGGGAAATACTGAACCTGAGATTATGTACAAAAATTATTTCATGATATGTTGCTATTTTCTAATTGAAATACTGCTTTTCACATAATAGTTTTATCATTTCCTAAATGGTGCAGTTTATAAGTTAATATGGCTATATCAGAGCTTCAGGCTGTTGGCACTCATCTCTCTATGCTAGTAGTGCTTTCAGAAGGCACTGCTGTATTAATATTTATGGAAGACATTTTATTTGTATTTAAGTGCCTCTGTTAGCCAGTGTTTTCAAGACAGATTTGTATATTAATATTTGTTGCAAAGACTCCTTAGAAACTGTGTGAGAGCCTTGGCCTTAATACCTTATATTTAAAAGCTCTCCTATGTGTAACTTTTGACTTGTTCTTCATACAAGTGTAGTGTTTATCTGCTTGCTATTTTTAGGACTATAAATATGTTTAATTTTTTAAATTGTGTGTGTGTATCCATTAATCTCTTTGGTTCTCCATGTAGCTCTCTGTAATACCTAAGAAAAGTTGTAAGTTTTCTGTGTTATGTTTTCTCCACTTAGTTTAGTTAGTACTCAAAAACAACCAAACTCACTGCTGTTGAGTCAATCCTGACTTGTAGCGACCCCTCCTTGGGTTTCTGAGGTGGTATCTCTACGGAAGTAAATTGTCTAGTCTTCCTTCCGAGGGGTGGCTGGTGGGTTTCAGTCGCCAGCCTTCTGATTAGCAGTCAAATGCCTTAGGCACCATGCTACCAGATGAGCATTAAAAACTCCAGTTTTGGGATCTTACTCCTCTAATTGTTGGGGTGGTCATAGAAATAACATTTTGGTAGAATGATGCTAAACTTTATCATATTTGAGAGATGCTCTTAGCTATATTTTGCTTTTAAACTATCTGAGTGTGTCAGTCTTAAGCTGCATTTCTGAGAATGATGTCTCTTTTGGGCTCAGCTTAATGTTCCAGTTTCCTTTCTTCTGCCTCCAACAGGGTATTAGACACGTGGACCACTTTGGGTTTATCTGCCGAGAGGCTTCGGGAGGCGGAAGCTTTCATTTCGTCTGCTATGTGTTTCAGTGCACAAATGAAGCTCTGGTAAGAGACCAAGGATCCTATCAAATGTGCATGAACTGTTGAATGTAAAACCAATTTGCTTGTAAATGTGCGTCCAAAGCACAATTAAAAAAAAAAAAAAAGACAATGAATCGTTTTACCTTGAAACCTTATTTATAAGGAATTTCAATCTCACTGAAGTGTTTCTTTTTTTCCTGTCTTTAGCCAAGTTGTATGGCCTCATTGACATACCATTATTTGACTTTAATTATTCATTCATGACTTTTTAATAACTAGCTAGTATGCATCTGAGCTTTATTAGGGTATATGTTTTAAATTTTCATTATTTTGAAGAACCTGCCTGCTTTCACTCTCTGGACTAGCATTTTAAGGAGTTAGCTTTTACCCTCAGTATATATCGTTTACTTAGGATTTTTTGTTTGTTTGTTTTGTTTTATTTTCAAAAACCTCCTTTCCTTTAAAAGATTCGAATGTCACAAGACAGGAAGGGACAAGAAAGAAGGTCAAAGGGAAAGGGTGAACACAGGGAGAAAGTGAGAAGAGTATTGTTAATCTTGTGCGGATTGCAGTCAATATCATGAAACAAAATGCATATGAACTGTTGAACAGAAAACCAATGTGTGCTGGAAACTTTCACCCAAATCACAGTTTAAAAACAAAAAGATTTGAGTATCTGGGAAATATTTTTGAGCCTGTAATCTTAGCAGTTATTACAGTTAATCTATCAGTCTGTGATTAATAAATAGTCCAGCAAAATCTGAAAATACTAAGTCTTTCCACCAAAAAACCAAACCTACTGCCAACGAGTCGATTCTGACTCATGGTGACCCCTATATTGTTTCCTGGCTGTAAATGTTGACTATATCATCTTTCTTCTTTGGAGCAGCTGGTGGATTCGAACTGCTGAGCTTTTGTTTAGCAGCCAAATGCCTTCATGGAACTATCAGAGTTCCTTAGTCTTCCCACCAAACCAAAACCAGACTCACTGCCGTAGAGTCAATTCAACCCATAGCAACCTCTTCTTGGGTTTCTGAGGCGGTATCACTATGGAAGTAGATTGCCCAATCTTCCTTCCAAGGAGTGGCTGGTGAGTTTGAACTGCCAGCTTTCTGATTAGCAATGAAATGCCTTAGGTGCTACGCCACCAGAGTTCCTGCAGAGTCCTCAAATCAGCCCAGGTAATTTTAATCTTACTGTTTGCTGCTTATGTTCCTCTTCTCTTCAATTAGGTTGATGAGATTATGATGACCCTGAAGCAGGCTTTCACGGTGGCTGCGGTGCAGCAGACTTCTAAGGCCCCCGCTCAGCTGTGTGAGGGCTGTCCTGTTCAGTGCCTGCACAAACTCTGTGAGAGGATAGAGGGTGAGTAGTGGAGCCCTTCTGAACTTTCAAATATAGATCACAAGAAAACCTTGGGTAACATGCTTTGAAAGGTTCTGCATAACATAGCCTTGTATTTATTATAGGATTGCAGGTAAGCTTTCAACTTGAAGCAGGTAACTCTGGTATATCAGGCATGGCACTGCTGGTGCTGGGGGTACAAAGATAAAAACTCATGTCCTCTTCTGTCATCTTCCCTCCATGGTAGTCTGAGGTAGTGAAGAAGTTGGGGAAACAGAACTTACAAAACCAGTTGTGTAGCATTTGTAATGGTTTGTGAGTGGTCAGCCATATTGACCTCTAGAGAGAGATCTAGTAAGAGCTGAGGAAGTTCCATTAGGTTTCTCAAACAGAAGCTTATCAGGAGCTTCTGTTAGGACAGTTTTAAAGGCATGGTGGGGACAAAGCACAGGTTGCAGCTGATGGAAGAATGAAAAGGAATGAAAGAATTACTGTTGAGTGTTGCCTGCCATTTCGAGGAACTTGGTTTAGGAATGAACATAATAAACATTACGATTTGCAGCTTTTATTTATTCAAGACTTCAGATGTACCAGACACTGTGCTAAGTGCTTAATTTTACGTCCATTACTCATTTATTTAATCCTCACCACGTTTCTGGGAGGAAATGGGACTTTTTATTTTGTACATTTTATAGATGAATGAACTGAGGATTGGAGGGTGCTTGAGTCGCAGTCGACTCAGTGGCAGTGTTTAGAGATAAACTAGTCTCCAGTGCATCCAGGAGTTGGCCCAAGATGACAAAGCCCCTGGCTTTTCCCTGCCACCAAACATTGAACACTTGTCTACAAACCAAAAAGTTGGCAATGCGAAACCCAGCCAGAGGCACCTCAGAAGGAAAGGCCTGGCTGTCTGCTTCCAAAAGGTCACAGGGATTGAAAACCCCATAGAATGGTTCCTCTGACACATGAGGTTGCCACGAGCGGAAATCGACTTGACAGCATTGGTTTGTTTTTCTTTTTTGGCTCCCTGTTTACCAAACAGGATTTCCCAAGAGAAGGCCATACTAGGGGAAAACTCAAGGCCTGTGGCCAACTATTTTTTTTTTAAAGTATGGGGGACAGTTTGAGCAACTTCAGAGCTTAAAGGACCAGACCCTTCTCTATCCCTCTCTCCCTCTCTCCCTCTCTCCCTC